AATTCCGCTATTCCATAATGTTTCATGGGACTTCCATCGACAATGACAACTGTCGTTGGAACTGGTTTTAGTTCTACTGTACTGGATTGTAGTACATAGGTCGAGACAGTAATGTGCCACTTGACCCTGTATCAATCAAAAAGGTACCATCCACACCATTTATCTTCTCCTTCACAAACAACCCACTAGCAGCCCTCTCATAATCAAGCCAGGTAGGTCGATAAAGTGGTTTAGATGGCTCCTCTGTACAGGAGGCCTGAGTTTCCTCAATTTCAAGGGATTCGGTTTGTGGGGCGTCCGCTTTTGAGCTGGCGGCAATTTGATCTATTTCCCCACCAACACTGACCTGTGCTGGGCACCTTACCATTCTTGTGGACTGTACTAATTTCAAGTGGGACCATTTTGAATCGACACATGCCTGGTCCCAATGATGTGTCGTTCTCTGTTTTCTCTGGCCTTTTTCCTCACAGATGTAACACACTACATCCCTCAAGAACCTTCGTTCCCTGTCTGTCTTCCTTATTGTGGCTTCACAATCTCTGGACATATGTCCTTTCTGTCCACAAGTATAACACTTACCTTGCCACCCCTGGCTACCAGGTTGAAAACTGCTTTGTTGGTTGGCAGCTCGAGCAAACGTCCCGTATGGGTCTCCTTCAGTTCTAGCTGGACCCCCTTCATAATAATCTACAGACGAGGACCCTCCTGTGCTGGGAATTCTCTGCCCTTGTACAAACTTCTACTATTATCTTCATAGGAACCATATGTTCTATCTTTTTCACCTAGGTCAGTTGGCCATTCATAGCCTACCTGCCTCACAAACTTCCCCTTTCTTCTTTCTGCTTCTACTCTCAGATACGATTCTGTTTCTATAGCTACCCTCACTGCATGATCTAAATTCCTAGGTTCTGCTCTAAACAAGGCATCTCTAATCCCTTCTTCTGATATGACATGGTGAAAATATTGTCTTCCATCCCCGAATATGCTGTTTCCACCAACTCCAAAATAGATTCAGCCAATTCCTGAAGTGTTTCAACCCTATTTCTCAATCGGCTTCTCCATTGGGCAGCATATGTAGCAGCTAACCCGGTTGGGCCGAATCTTTGCTCCAATCTATCTACCAATTCCTTATAAGGTATAAAAGCCCCATTACTTGCCCCATTCAGGCTCCTTGTCCATAGCTGGCAGACTAACTAATTCACTTACCTTAGGTCTAGTCCCCTGTGACCGGTCTCCTTCACTTCCTGGATTTTGCCCTTCTTTTAGTGAACAAAGATCAGACAACTCACCATTTAATGCACTCATCTGGTCCAACTTTCCCTCTAGCTCAGCAATTCGTTTCTCATATTCATTCAGGCTATCATGGATACGCTCTGTCGAACATCTTGCAGGCATTTCGTCTTCTCTTCCGGAGTTGAGAGTCCCTTTATACGTGTTCCCCCAGTCATGGATGCCTTTGAATCTTTCTCCCGTTCCCTGAAGGTGATTATATTACTTTCGGCTCCCTTGAAAACACTACTCTTTCTCTCTGCTTCAGCCATCTGTACTTTAACTTCCTCCTCCATTCTTTTTAATCCTTTTTTAAGGCTTTTTCCTCCTCCTCTTCCTCGCCACTTTCATCCAGTTTCAAAGTGTCGTCCATCTTTTTCGTATCATCCTCCATCTCTCCACCTTCTGCCATGATCTCCAAAAGCCAAACAGTGTACACCAGCTATTCAATCCCACGGCAGGCCACCAGTGTAACAAAATTCCGTTGGGGAGCAAGGAGGAACTCTGCAAGGAAGCAATCCCCTAAACACCCTGTCAGTTAATGTACCTTGTGTTCCTGAGGGTTAAACAGTAGCACGAATTCTACTTTAGTGAATGTGAGCGACGTCTCGAAAAGAGAGCGTTAGGTAGTGTTGCCAAATAAAATAAAGGTAATTTAGCTTCACATATTCACAAGGTCCGGCTTCAGTTATCATAAATTGAAGGCTTATTTCCTAATGAATGGCTGGTACACTGGGTCATGACAATGGGAGATCATACCAGAAGGGCAAAGGGATCAACTCGGGACAGTTCCTATTTCGATAAAATATACTCAGACAAAGGAAATATAAAATCAAAATAGTTTAATAATACAACACGAAAATAGAGAGAAGAGATACAGAAATACATCACATATTGACAATATCTGCCGTTGGTGTTTTTACAAGGATTAAGTTCAGTCTTCTATAAAAGAGTACAGAGCGTACTTGGACTCCAAACCTACATTCGAGCTATTGAATCAAGTCTGGATTTTTAATGAGGTATCGCTATTTTTAGACGCAGAGTCTCGTGATGACACTGGACAGTACTGCGTGCTACTCGGTTTCCCAT